GTAGGATTGCAGGCGTAAGCCATCAGCACCCAGCCCTAATATGCATTTTCAAGACTGTAATTATGCCGTAGTTCATCCACTGAGACCCAGTGAACAGGTCTCCCCTCTGCCCAGGAAATTTCAACTCCCACACTGCACAGAAAACAGAGCTAACCCTGTTGGCGCCAGAATGGCCTACAGGGGGCAGGAGAGAGCAAGCAAGGACCAAGGACTTACCCTGGGTGCTGAGAGCAAACTCCAGGGCAGAAGTGACTTGATCCAGGCAGCCCTGGGTTTGCGAAAGCCTGACCTGCAAAGTCCAGCCTGACTTCCTCGTTTGGCCTCCTCACGTACACGGAAGACATAAATACAGGCTGTACAGAGAATGTTCCTACATCTTGCAATGACAGCTATACAGTAGAGGTAACCCACCTCTACTGCAGCAGCTTTGTGTTTCTAAGACAATGCCTTAGCTAGGTGCTGTGGCTCGTGCTTGTAATAACCCTAGCTACTTGGGAGACTGAGATTGGGAGGAACACAGTTTGAGGCTAGCCCTGCACATAGTTTGCAAGGCCCCATCTTCAAAATAACCAGAACAAAATGGACTAGTGAAATGGCTCGAGTAGGAGACCACCTGCCTTGCAAATGTGCAAGCCCTGAGTTCAAACCCCAGTCCCACCAAAAAAAGAAAAAGAAAATGCCTTGTGTGTTCTCTCATTGAATCCTGATGATAATATTCAGAGGTAGGTGCTATGCTTATTTCCATTGTTCAGACAAAGAACAAATGGCCTCAGAGAGGTGAGGCCATTTGCTCAAGGCCACACAGTGAGTGTGTGAGGTGGGGTGTCAGGACTTACATTCACTCCCCCCTTCAAATATTTGATCCTGAAGCTCAGGATCCTAAATGCCACCCTTACTGAGAATAAACTAATTAGTATGATCGGATCTTAGGCTTCAATGTTAAGTCTAGTTTAAATTCTTTGTGTCACTGTGACTCGCCCCAAAGCCTAAGAGAGGGCACCAAATAAATATTTATTGAATAATAAATGAATGGTATTACTGTGATCTGCAGCCCTTCACACTCGCACATTTTTCTCCATTTTTAAAAAACATTAAGTATGATTTACACACAGTAAAAATTACCTCTTTTAATGAAAATCCTGCACATTTAAACAAATGTTTTATTTATTTATTTATTTACTTATTTATTTATTTATTTTGTGGCACTGGGATTTGAACCACGCATCCCTAGCTCCTGGCACCCATTGATTTTTTTTCTGTCCTCATCGTTCTGTCTTCACAAGAATGTCACCTAAAGGCTGGTGGAATGGCTCAAGGGGTAGAGCACCTGCATAGCTAGTGTGAGGCCCTGAGTTCAAACCCAGTAATTCCATAAAAAAAAAAAGAATGTCACCTAAAGGGAAGGTGGGTGTGGAGGTACACCTGGGAGGTTGAAGCAGAAGGATTGCTTGAGCCCAGGAGTTTGAGGCTGGCCTGGGCTACACAGTGAAATCCTGTTGCTAATAATAATAATAATAATAATAAACAAATAATGAAAGGGAATCCTGCTGAGTGTAGGCTGTCCCCCTGTGCATTTGGCGTTCATTCCTGCTGTGGGGTGTGTGAGGTGCCCGCTGCCTTTTCTGCCTGCTGCTCCTGAGTAGCACCCCCTGACGGTGCCACAGTTTGTTGATAGCTAGCTCTCCAGAAGACAGACACTGGGGTTGTTTCCAGGGTTCAGCTATAACCAATAAAACTGCTATAAATATTTCTGTGGGGGTTTTTGTGTGAACGTAACTTTTCTCTAGGGTATAGCGAGGAGTAGGAACTTGGGTCAGATGGTATATGTATATTTAGGTTATAAAAATCTGCTGAACAGTTTTTCCTAAGTTGCTAGCCCATCTTGGATTTTTGCCAGCAATGAGAAGTTCCAGTTACTCTGTATCTTGTTAGCACCTGGTGTTGTCGATTTCAACTTTTTTTAGCCATCTTAAGAGATGCTTGGTCGTACTTAGTCTGCTTTTCATTTGCATCTTCCTAGTGGCTAACGATCCTGGCAGCTTTTCATGTTTAGTTGCTATTTATATCATCTTTGGTGACGTGTTTCTGTTCGTCTTTGGCCCATTTTTTAAAAAGCATGTTCCTTTTTTCTCTTCTTTTTTTGCAGCACTGGTGGTTGAACCCAGCACCTCCCACATACCAGGCAAATGCTGTACCACTGAACTAAATCCTCAACCCATTTTGTTTTCTTATTGAGGTTTGATAGATTTTTGGCTTTTTTTTTTTTTTTTGGTGGCACTGAGGTTTGAACTCGGGGCTTTGTGCTTATAGAGCAGGTGCCCTACCATTTGAGCCACACCTCCAGTTCATTTTGCTCTGGTTATTTTGGAGATGGAGGTCTCAAGGACTGTTTGCTCGGGTTGGCCTTGAACCACAGTCCTCCTGATCTCAGCCTCCCAAGTAACTAAGATAACAGGTGTGTGGCATTGGCACCTGATTTTGACAGTTCTTTTTTTTTGGCAGGGGGGATGGTACTTGGCTTTGAACTCAGAGCCTCACACTTGCTAGGCAGGTGCTCTTAGGGCTTTAGCCGCTCTGCCAGCTGACTTTGACAGTTCTTTGTATATTTGAGACGCAAATCCTTTATCAGATATATGTTTTGCAAATCTTTTCTCTAAAACTGTGGTTCTTTTAATAGCGTCTTTAAAAGAGTAGAATTTTTTTTTTTTTAAATAGGGTATCAACTATGTAGCCATGCTGGCCTGTAACTCAACGATCTTCCTGCCTTAGCCTTCTGAGTGCTGGGATTACAGAGGTGTACCACTATGCCTGATTCAAAGAACTAAAGTTCTGAATTTTGATAAAGATCAATGTATCGATAATTCCTTTAATGGATGGTGCTCCTGATATAATTAAGAATTCTTGGGCTGGTGGAGTGGCTCAAGTGGTAGAGTGCCTGCCTAGCAAGTACCAGGCCCTGAATTCAAGCCCTAGTGCCATGCAGAAAAAAAGTTGTATGTAAGAATTCTTTCCTAGCTGGGCACCAGTAATCCTGTAGCACTTGTAATCCAGTAGCACCTGTAATCCTAGCTACTCAGGAGGCAGAGAGGAGACTCGTGTTCAAAGCCAGCCTGGCCAAATAGCTTGGTTAAGTAGTTCAGGAGATAGTAATCTTGAAAACACCTGTCACAAAAAAGGGCTGGTGGCACGACTCAAGTGATAAAGCACCTGCCTGGCAAGTGTGAGGCCCTGAGTTCTACCCCAGTGCCACTGAAAAAAAAAACAAAAGAAAAAAGAACAAAAGAAAGAAAAAAGAAATAAAAATGTAAGTAACAGATTTTCTCTTGTTTTCTTCTAGAAGTTTTACAAAAATCATTGTAGCTACTTCATAAATTTGCTGGGTTAAAATGCAGGAATGATGTAACCAGCCTTTAATACAGGGCCTGGACGAGAGTAAGCACTCAATAAATTGAGTCTGAGATGGACATTTGCCTACATAGTGTTCCTAAGAGGTCCCCAGGGGCCCACCACACATTTCCTCTGCACAGAGCAGATGTCCTCACAGATATCCTTGTGCGAACTGCTCCAGGAAGGAGTGAAGGTGAGGAGAGGCACAGAGAGGCCAGGACAACTGCAGGTCAGCAGAGGTGTAACCTCAGGGACCCCAGGGATTCCTGTGTCAGATTCACTCACTCACCCCCAGCAGATCAGAGCCTGAGTAGGTGAAGAGCAGAGAAAGGAGATTTACACAGCAAGGGGCACACCACCAGAAGACCCAAAGTAAGCCCTCAGGCCACCTTCCCAGCACAGACATGCGCCCTGGGTTTAAGTAGAAGAACTGGGGCATGGGAGAGAGGTGTGCGTGATTATTACAGCCCAGGTCACAGGTGTGGCTTGGTGGCCAGAGGTGGTCCAGTTGCTCATTCTCTCAGGGTTGGTCAGGCAGGACCTTGTTACAATAAGTCATTGCTGCCTGCCAGAGGGTAGCTTTGACTGCTGTCACAGGATGCTTTATCCATCAGTTCTGTCCTTCCTGGACTCCAAGGTGGCTGCAAAGTGACTGCAGGAGAGAATGGCTCAGAGGGGTTCAAAATGGAGGCAGGGGTGCCAAGCTCTTCTCCTGCTTTTGGTTCCCCTTGGGCATCTGAGGAGTCAGTGCCTTTCAGCAAAAGCAGCATCGGAGTCCCTGTTTGACCTGGTAGGTGGCCCTTCCTGCTACAGTCTGCACTGCTCCCCTTAGCCTGTCTCATCAAATGTGGAGCTCTAGGCCAAGCTGTGTTGGGGCGCTGGAGACTAGGACGTATTTATTGAGCACTTACTGTGCATGAGGCTCTTAGTTAACAGCAGTGAACAAGATTTACAATCCCGGGCACTGGGAGCCCACAGATTAGCAGAGGAGACAACAGACAAATAATTACGTAATTAATAACAGGATTAAGGAAAGGGGCAGGGTGGTGGGGTGGGGGAGTGGGACTCACAAACAATCTCTGGCCCTTTCTCAGCCTCCACCTTGTGCCAGGACCCTCCGGTGGCGCGCGTGTGCGCATGACGTCACTGTGAGAGCCAGGTGGAAAGGTGGTCCTGGGCGCTTTGGAGGGCGGTGAGAGAGGGTTGTGGCCGCGGTTCATGCCTTCATTCCATAAATGTTCCGGCGGCGCCTACTGTGTGCCATGCGCCCAGTGAGGACCAACGCAGCCCATTCCCTCTCACCATATATGGGGCAGACAGAGAGAGAGAAAAAAGGCAAATAAATAAATAACCAACGTCGTTTCACGCACGGCAGACTCTGCGAGGGCGCCCTGGGGCGGGGACACGCGTGCACTTGCTGCACACAGCCTCCCCCTCCCTCCCCCAGCTTGCAAAGAGGTCACCGCGCTAGCGAGGAGCGCGCCCTCCGCCCGGGCCGCAGCACGCGCGCCCCCGAGAGCCAGGGCGCGCGCCGCTCAGCCCCCGCCCGCGCCCCGTGAGCGGCTCCTGCCGCGAGCACGACGCCCCCTGGCGGGAGCCCTAGGCCACACCGGCCACGCGCAGGGGAGGGGGCGGGGGCGCCGCGCACGCGCATGAGACGGCGGCGCGCGCCGAGCGGGGGGCGCCGCGCGGTGCAGCCACGATGGAAGGGGGTGCTTACGGAGCTGGTAAAGCGGGGGGCGCCTTCGACCCCCACACCCTGGTCCGGCAGCCGCACACCATCCTGCGCGTCGTGTCTTGGGTAAGGACGGGCCGGACCGGCCGGGTGGGGGTGTGGGCGAGGACTGAGCGCCTGGACGTACCCCGACTCCACCGGGCCCAGCAGAGGCGCGGCCGCCGGCGGGAGCTGCCCAGCCGGCAGAGCCGCTGCCCTCCGCTCCCTGCTTCCCTGGGTCCGGGCGAGGGGCGTCCGCTCCCGGACCCCCCCATTTCCCCGGGCTCCCTCCCGTTCGTGCGCCCCGCCCCCATGGCCGTGACCTCCAGGCCGCGGCTCTGCAGCTGGCGGCATGAGTTGCACGAGACCGTGGGACAGAGCCCCAGTTCAGGCTGTCTTTTGGGGGGGCGGATCAGGGCGTGGAGCATCTCGCTGGGGTGCATGTCGCGCCTGCGGTGGATATTCGAGGAAGGGCAGGGAACCTGGTAGCCTGGACGGTGTGGAGTGATGAATCTGGAGCCGGATACCTGGCTTCCACTGAGAGCTGCATCTCCTTAGCGGCGTGACCTTGGGCTGGGAACCACCCAAGGAATTTAGTTCCTGGCTGTGGAGCGCCACCTCTTCTGTCATGCCTCAGTTTCCCGATTTCTAGAAAGGTGGAAGGAGCTTCCTGCAGCCTCCCCTGGGCTCTGACATTTCCTGAATCCATAACTGTCTGCGCCCTCCCTCGGGCCCCGTAAACGTGGATGCCTATCGGGCCAGGTGTCTGGGAGGTAGGGTCTCCTCCCCACAGTGAAGACCACAGAGACCTGTTCTGCACCTGCAGCTGAATGGAGGGCAAGACCTCCCCCCGTCCAGTGCTGAGGTGGGCTCAGTTCAGACCTAGAGCAGAGGATAGGATAGAGCCAGAGAGCACAGAAGGAAGGCTTCAGGTGGCTTTTTACCCCTGGAAAAGAAGGCCTGCTGGAATGGGGGGAGGTGCCCCGGGCTCCCTGGTTGGCTGAAACACTCCATGGAGGGTCTTGCCTCTGTAGGCCTGGGGGCTCATTCCTCATGGGCCCAGACCAGAAGGGTGTGGATTGGGGACACTGGGCAGGGGCATTGTCAGGGACTCGAGGGGGCTATGCCTGAAGACAGCTGTGACCTAGGTACACTGACCTGCCTTCCTTCCCAGGTTTTCCAGGCTGTCTTAGGATCTGGTAGATGGGACAGCTTGGAGATTTATTCCAGCCAAAGGAAGGGTGAACAGGTATAAATGTCCACCCAGTGGGGAGCCTTTGAGGGTGGGAAAGCCCCATTCTGTTGCTGTGTGTCCTGGCATCTCAGTTATGTCCATGAGGGCTATGGCACTGAATTAATTCATCTGTGACACTACAGCTTCCAGAGGCCCCAGAAGGCCTTAGGCAACAGCAGAAACCCTAGGTGCACCTGCAGGGTCAGTTGGGAGAGGGCTGTGTGTGCTGCCCCCTTCCCCAGCCCGTGGGGAGGTTGAAGCCACTGGCTTTGTGAGGGGCGGGGTGTTTTGTGTGCTTGGGTCATTTCTGCCTGTGATGGCTTCATTTAGCACAGCTTTATTGAGTCTGCCAGGCCCTGAGGGAAGGCGGAATGACTCAGGCGCTCAGGAGCCCACAGTCCCACTGGGGAGGGAGCCAGGTGCCCTAGGCTGAGGCTGGTGAGTGAGCCAGGAGAGGGTCTCCCTGCTGTGGAATGGAGAGGGTTTACACTTTTGCACTTTGAGGTGAGAGGAGGACATTCCAAGTAGGAGGGGAAAACAAGCAAACAAAACAAACAACAATGACAAACCCACTGTGTTTGGAGCATACCATTTCCCAGCTGCTTTCCCTAGCACTGCAGAAACTGAGGTCAGAGAGGCCAAGTGACTGGCCCAGGGTTACTGAGCACTCAAGCTAGAGACCAATTTGAACCCAAGTCTTTCTGTCTTCCCTGGGGCAGGGGAGAATGCAGAGCCCTGGGATTTCAGGATTTGAAAGGGCATGAAGGTAATCTGGGCCACCCTGCTCCAATGCCACCTCCTAGTCTTGCCACACACCTGGACACAGGTACTTTCTGCCCCGGTCTGAGCCATCTGATACAGGCTCACTGACGCCTTTAAGGAATAGATAAAAAGGGACAGGAGGCATGGTTCAGTGGGCCAGCACTTGCCTAGCGTGTGCAAGGCCCTGGGTCCACCAAAAAAAAGAAAGAAATGGTGGAGGTGGTAAATTTCATGTTGTGTATTTTCCACAATTGAGAAAATGGGGGGGGGGGGCGGAAATCGTGTGGTAACCACCATTTAGGCAGTTAGTGTGGTGCTGTGCTGTGTCATCTGGTTTGTTTGTTTTTTAATGTGTATGCTAAGACTTCTTAACACATTTGGCAGCCAGGGGGTGCTGGGGTGGGCTGGGGGGATGTCCTGCCCCCAGCCTGTGTGCTCCCCCAACACACTGCAGAGTCTGGCAGCAGCAGGCTTTCCTGTGGAGCTAATGGAGCCTGAGCTCTGGGTCTACAGTGATCAGTTCCTCCTGGCTTTAACACTGAAAGTCTGGTATTTGGGATCCCCCAGTCCCTGACAAATTTGGACGGGTGATGTTCAGGACTTTGGCATTACCCAGGCCCCACAGAGCCCTGGAAGGTCCACTAATAAGTGCAAGTGGACTTGTGAGTTGGCAACATTTGTACCAGAAAGATCTTTTTCTGATGTTTTTCCAAAAGAGGGTCCCATTTGAGCTGGGTGTGGTGGAGCATGCCTATAATCCCAGCACTTAGGAGGAACTTGAGTTTAAGACCAACCTGGGCTATACAGCAAGATCCTGCCTCAAAAAGCCAAAATGGTGTGTGAAGGGGACTGGAGGCATGGCTCAAGTGGTAGAGGGCCCTGGGTTCAATCCCCAGTATTGAAAAAAAAAAAAAAAAAGTCATATAAAAAAAAAAAACTGAGTGTTGGTGGCTCACATTTGTAATCCCAGCTACTTGGGAGACTGAGATCAGGAGGATTGCAATTTGAGGCCAGTCTGAGCAAATGGTTCATGAGACCTCCATCTCCCAAATAACCCGAGCAAAATGTACTGGAGGCGTGGCTCAGGGGTAGAGCGCCTGCTTTGCAAACATGAAGCCCTGAGTTCAAGCCCTGGCCCTACCTCCCCCCAAAAAAGATAGAGGGAGAAAAGAGGACCTCCAAATCATGCAAGCTACAGGGCCTCACTCAACTGGCACTCCCCTACACCACCTCCTCTACCAGACTGGGGCAGAAGCTGGGCCTCCCAGACCCACTTGTTCCTTGGCTGAAGCTATCTCTGCTCTTCTCTGTCTTCACTTCCCCCCAGAAGGGGCAAGGCCAGACCTGGGCCTTCCTGCCCCAGCTGGAACATTTTCCAGGAAATCCAGGTTTGGGGGAGATGGGGCAGCAGCTGTGACCTTCAGCAAGTATCCCTTCCTCACCCTTGTGCTTTGGTCTCCCTGTGTGAACCGGGTGGCTGGGCTGGGTCAGAGGTGCCTGGTCAATGGCCGTTCCATGATTACAGCCTATCAGTATTGACTCACGTCCTTGTTCTGGAGCCAGAGAGGAAAATGAAGTTACAGCAGAAGCTGCATTGATTTAATGTAGAGGAGCACTTTTATTAGGAATTTATATTGTTTCTTTTGAGGGGATTGAAAGGACCTATATGGAGTTAATGAAAGGGTTTATTTTAATGCCCTTTTTTTTGGCAAAATAAAATGATAAAATGTTAGAAATGTTGCCAGTTTCAGGATTTATCTTTTATTTTGTTGTCATTTCTTTATTTACTTCTGGTGCTGGGGATAGAACCCAGGATCCTGTGCACGTTTATCCAGTGCTCTGTCACTGTACTGCGCTCCAGCCCCCTGGATTGATCTTTTAAGCATCTGTAAGTCCAGTCAGAGTCTTTCCCCCATTTTTTTGATGACAGCAGTCAGGCTTGGGCTGGAGAGGTGACTCACATGAGCTGCAGACCTGGACCTGCACTGTCTGGACCACGGTTGAGCTCTGCACACATACAGTGTGCTCCCTGTGGCTGCCTTGTAGAGGTTTGCTTTGGAGGGTGTCTAAGGGCAGGTGTCCTGGCTGGAAGCGTGTGGTTGTATCCAGCTGCCCTCTCCCAAAGCCAGGAACAGCCGTCACCTAGACAGAGATGGGTCCCTAGCCCTTGTTTGGCATTTGTTGCTCGGTCTTTGAGTCCTCTTGACCTCTCTGCCTGGGGTCCATTGCAAGGAGACCTGGCCCATGGGTCTGCTGTGTGTCTTGGGCATGTCCGCGGGTACTAGGGCAGGTGGGGGCTTGAGGAACCCAAGAAAGCCTGAGGTTTAGCATCAAGGGAGGAGTAACCATGGAGGACTTGAAAACCCTCACTTCTCTCAGCCTCAGTTTCCTCTCTGTAATAGAGAATTGCAGTGCCTGAATTTGGGAAGCCCAGAAGGTTGTGACAGTGGGGGGATCCTCATGGGTTCTGTCATCTCCACTAGATGGACACTCAGGCCCAGAGAGTCTAACTGGAGGTGCTGGGAAGGAGCCCTGGCCCTGAAGGGGTTCCCAGCCACACAGGAGTCCAGGCCTGAGTGTGGGGCAGAAAGAACAAAGGCTGGGAAGGGCAGAAAAGGCCAGGAGGGGAGATGGAGCAGGAGAGGCAGATGGCAGGGCTGTTGGAGGAGTCACACTTGGCACCCAGACCGGAAGAACCAGCTGTCCTGGTGGGGGTGGCGGGGGAGGGACAAACAGGGCGTGGGGAAGTGCCTTGTGGCAGCCCTCTCTGGTCCTAACTGGAGGGGTGATTTGAGCATGATGCCAGTGCTTTGTGGCCCTCAGTTTCCCTATTTGTCAAATGAGATGACGATGCTGGATTAGGTGGGCTGCTTCCAACTCTTCCACTCTCAAAGAACCCCACTCTTGCTCCTAGCGAGCCCCAGGTGAGGAACTTTGGAGTTGGTGTCATGGTTTGAATATGTAATGTCCAGTACAGGCTCATGTGTTGAATGCTTGCTCCCCAGCTGGGGATGCTATTTAGGGAGGTGGTGGAAACTTTGGGAGGTGAGGCCTAGTTCAAGGAAGTGGGTCACTGGGGGCGTGACTGAGG